AATATATATATATATATATATATATATATATATATATATTAATAAGTATTATTTAATTAATTTCACCAATTAATTAAATAATAATATTTATTTATTTTTAATATCAAAGAAAATGGCAGTCTTAATATAACTAGATGTCCTATTCTGGTATTTTAAAAATAAATAAATATCCTACTTATAAAAATAAAAAAATACATATTGTTTTATTTAAATTATTTTCTTAGGAAAAATTATTATTTTTAATATTTATTTATTTTTTAAATATTAAGAAAGGGCAGTCTTAAAGCAACTAGATGTCCTTTTATGATGTTTTAAATAAATAAATATTTTATTTATAATTTATAAAAATTATTTAATATTTTTCTTCCTTAGAATTATCCGATTAAAATACGAAATAATAGGATTATAAATTAAATTTATATTCAAATTCTTAAATTCTATTATTAGAGACAATTTATATTCGACAAGGACTAATTGTGGGCGTTGTGGGGGTGCTAATCCTTCCCCAAACGTAACCGACCACGAATCCCTTTTTATTATTAAAAAGAATAAATTTTTGGTTAAATGCGGACCAATTTATCTTTTAACTGATGTTTTCTTAAAAACTATTTTAAAAGATGATTTTTAGGTATTCGACCTACCTGATCCTAAAGGCCGATGCCGACTCCCAAAACATTTCAATAAAAAACCATTTATCAACATTATTTTTTCCGCCAAGTAAAAATTTGTGCCCGTGCGAAAACCAGTTGCAACAGCTTGACGACTCCGTTGGGGATCCTGGTCAGCTTAAGTCTATTATATATTGTCTCTATAATTAGAAATTGAGAATCCAATTTTATTTAATTTATGATTCTTTTTATTTCACTCAATTATTTTTTATCCTTTATTATTTTTAATATCCTTATATATTAATGTTTATATTTTTTATTTTTTTAGATATTAATTTTTATGTGAAAATTTCTCCTCACACACAACACATGCATTGCATAACATAAGCTTTATAATCAAGCTTGTCCCTTTTAAGTGGGAGTGAAAGCGACGTCTTCGTGAGAATTTATTCTCCGTGTCAGACCTAGCAAGTAACTTTCGAGGTTCATATATCCTATGTCTTCGTGAGGATTTATTCTCCGTGTCAGGCATAGGGAAATATGTCCCCTCGAATTGAAATCGGCCCGCTTAAGTCTGTAATAGACTAGGATTGAGGGTTTGGCAGCCCAAAGGGGCACCGACAAGGATAGTTCGAGTACCTTTACTCCTAGAACTGAAACCCTGCATATAATAAACCTTAGAAATTCACCCGATCTAAGACAAGACTGAACCTCTGTCCGTAGGTGTACACAAAGGAGAAATAAGCTCTAGCTTTTAATTTATTTGATTTGATTTTTTCTTCTAAATAAATGCATGCGAACTAGAAATCATGTGGTTAGGTTAATTTTTCCAAACAAAGCATGAAACTAGAAAGTATGACGTTAGGATTTTTATATCATGATAGATAATATCTTCTCTTTCCATTAATTGGTACTAACTAATTTATTTTTTCATTTCTCATTTTTATTTTTCATACATTTTGTTTTGCTCTAACTTGTTTATATTAATTTATTTTGTTTGCATTGCATGATCATGGCATAACCAAAAGGTATTGATTTGAAAGACTGTTCATCAAATTGGAAAGAATTCATAAATGGACAAAAAGTTTTATGATTGAACAAAATATGACGCAACCATGGAATGACATCCTGAGGGAACTCCGAAGATAGATGAGAGATATGCACCCAAAGATTGTATGCCCATTAAAGAGCAAAAGGAGATACGAGAAATAAGAGATTCCTACACAAAAAGAGAGAGAGCTCAAAGAAATAATCCTGCAATCTCAGATATACAAGGGACTTCTGATCCTAACCAATTTAAAAAATTACATACATTCATCATTCGTATTCTCAAGTTGTCTGGAGATACCAAAGAAATGGTGACAACTGTAAAAGCTCTCAGAGATAAGAAGAAATCATGTAATCTGAAATCATCGAAGCTTAATTTTCTCCCTATGTCAGAAACTCTGATTCAATCCAAGACAAAAGACAGCTCTCATTTTCATGATATCCCTATATCATATGAGGAGTTGTACAAGAAGCTACTTGAAGCGCGAGAAGCAGCTCCACATTATATGAAGCCGTTTCAACCTCCGTATCCGAATTGGTATGACATCAATGCTTATTGTGAATATCATGTCGGATCTCAATGACATACCATTGAGAATTGCATTGCCTTCAAACATCGAGTCCAATGTCTTTTGGATCATGGAATTTTAGAGTTTAGGATAAATGATCAACCTAGTTTGGTAACTGAAAGTCCTGCTAGATTAATACCAAAAGTGGTCAAAGGTAAGAATATCAGTAGGGACACCCAGAAAGAAGAAGATTTGCTGAGGTATGAGGCTCAAATACGTCATTTGAAGATTGAAAACGATAAATTGAACACCAAAATGGAAACCATGCATGAAGATTTCTAGAAGGTCAATCAAGCATTTCAAAATGATGGCATAGGAAACACCCCAAAAGAGTGGATAACAGGGGTCACTAAACTGAAAAAGAACTATAACATACATGAAGGACGAGCCAAGAAGTTTTCTCATGATTTAAGAGTTGCAGGAGAAAGACACAATACAATTGTCATTGAATTGGGAAAATGTCAAGTCGAAAATCAAAGGTTGAATAATGCTATAACTAACATGGAAACATCATATCAGATCCATCAGCTTGAGATCGATACTCAATTAAAAGCCACTATAGCCAAGAACAAGATATTGAAGAAATGTTTAGATGATTATGGAGATCTTGTACGAGAACTTCTTGAACATAAAGATTCTCTCACAAGAAAAAATGAACAACATTGTTTACAACTCCGAGAATTGACACAAAAGATGAAGGAAAAAGACAACGTCATGAAGGAAGTTGTTGCTCAAACAAGTAATGTGGCTCATAAGCTGGTAGACTTAGCTGGCTTCACGAGAGAATTAAGACAGATTAATAACTCCACACCTGAGCATGAGTGGAAGTTAATTTGGCTTTTAAGGGAAATAGAGAAATTAGGAGTGAAAGTTATCCCCTACATGTAAAAGTTTTGTTTGATGCACCGAAACTTTTGTGTTCAATGAAATCTATTCTAAGATGATCACTCTTGAGTAACACCTTTTCATACATGCATTTGCATTTTGCATCTTTGCATTTTTTATTTTGCATTTGTATTTTTATATTTGCTTTTGTATTGCACAATTTGCATTCTTATTGTTACATTCACATATTTACATTTGTATTTGCATTTTTGCATCTTTGCATTTTTACGTTTATATTTACATTTTCATTTTTGCATTTGCATATTTGCATAATTACATTTTGTTTCAAACTATTTTACATGCATTTAATCATGAAAACATGGGAATAATTCATGGAGAGTTCCCTTACAGAATTTTCGAAATCAAATTGGAGCTAACTTGGTCTTCCTAAAGAAAGATAATAACCATGAATGAGATTTTAGCAAGGGTTGGTAGAATCGAGAAACTACAAGAGCAATTTATCGAGACACAACAAGAGATGACTGGTCAAGTAAAAAAGTTCAGAGATGACTCAAAGGAATAACTGACCAAACTGATGGACTTGATGAATATTGTGATCCATAGAGAGAAACCCTTAGAGGATTTCGTTATAACATATTTGAATGGGTTTATGAATGTTAGTGGTATAGCCAATGCAATGTAAACAAATGACCAATAACTTGTCAAGAAATGTGAAAATCCAATAAGTCTCCAAAAATCAAGTATGATCCCAGAAAAGGCGACAAAGATCAAGTTGAAGCGAAGCATAGAAGAGGTTCAAAGGCCATTGAAGAAAGCTAGGAAAAGAAAAAAGAAAATGATACCTCTCATTCCAATTCCAATCTCATATTCAAATTTATTACTATTTCTCTTTGAAAATGACCTCATAACACCAATTCCTCCAAAGTCTAATACTTATTTGCATCCAGATTGGCAGGGTGTCAAGAATTCATGCAATTATCATTCTGGAGAGTTTAGCCACTCTACGCAGAATTGTAGGGTTGTGAATTTGTAAGTACAAAATTTGTAAAGATAAACATTCAAAGCATTTTTTATATGCTACAAAATAAAGTAATTCAATTTATTAACTTTTACTAGATTTAGTTGCATGATATATTATATTTAGATTTCATTTTTCTCGACATACAAATTTTATTTTTATTTTCTAACATGTCAATTAGTTTAATTTCATAAATCAAATATAAAATTTATCAAAGTTTCACAGAGAATATATCACAATTGGCATGTATTACATAAGTACTAAAATGTCAACAACTGTCTACATCATAGGTATATATTTAAAGATTGAACATTTTTTTAAAACTTGAAAGTTCAATATTTAAAAGAACTTAAATAAAAATAACATATTTAAAATTAAATTTAAATAAAAAATAATTCATTCTCGGTTAATATAAATCGAACTTGATATGATATATAATAAGAGTGAAGTAGGGTCCTGTAACTGTAATACGCACATCTCATCGCTGGGCTACGTGGACTCACCCATCCACGTAAAAATATCTCACACCACTTTGCTTAATGGAGAGGGTTTCCCATCCTTCTTCTTCTTGCTCCTCTTCTGCTATGCATGAAAAAGAAGGGTTTAAATTAATAATAACTTCATTTAACAGGGGCAGCGTTTTGAAGTGGGTGGGTAGGCATTGGTGACTTTCACCTATATATTTCAAGAACTTCTCGCCGTCAATAAATGAGCAGCAAAAATGGAAAACCACACACACCCACTGCCTTCTGCTAGAAATAAATTGAAACTTCATTTAATTCTTTATATGTTCTGCTTGACTTCTGAAAATCAAAGTACTGATGATGATCTGCAGCACCCTTTGATTTGAAATGTTCATCATCTACAATCTTAGTTTACTTGAAGAAATGAACCCCAAAAAAATTCAGATGCTCAAAAGGATTTGTCATTTATTAGTAGAATTACATTTTTTTATGACAGTTTGTATAATCAACATGAACCGGCTTTTACACCTTTAAACAGCCAAGTTCCTCAGGGTCTTGGAGGAGCTTAATAGCTATTATGTTACAATGGTCACCGGAAAAAAAATGAAAAAAGGGGGAAATTTCGACTTCTTTTAGCGGATATCTCTATATCTTCTACCTGTTGTTTTCTCTACTTAACCACAAGATCTCCATATCCTTCCCTCTAATGAAATAACTATAATGGAAACGTCGTCGTGGTACCGCCGTCGATCCCCTTGTGGTATTTCGAGTAACTCATGAAAGTCCATGCCTGCAATGAGCAACACCAAGTATGTTGGATTTGAGTATTTTTTTTACTTTGGTATAAATGTATAAAATGAGACTGGTATTTGGATGGTACCAGCTTTCTTTGCTGCTCGGAACAGCACTTCCTCAACTAGATGCTGAGCAGGATCTCCTTCTGGTTGCATTGTGATGAAAAGTTCGACCTCGGATACGGCTTCCTCATTTGTTAAGTATTGATAGAGGCCGTCGGAAGATAATATCAAAAACCTGTCTTTGGGACCTAGTTTGTGGTGGTGGAGAGATGGAACACAAGTGATGTATGGAGAGGTTCCTTTGTAATCTATTCTGAACATCTCTAGCAATGCATCATTCCATTTAGGCTAGAAAAGTTAAATCCGAAACGAGGGTCGTTAGACATAGAATTGATTCGGAAACTTTCGAATATAGTCTAACAAAAAGGAAAACAGCAACATACAAAGCAAGCCTTTGTCTATGTTCCTATGGTCCGCTACATTGCAGAAAGGGAGTGCTTCTAAGAGCACATCCCTTGAAAATGGAAACAGTTGATTTCAACAGAATAAAGGACCCCTCTTTATAAGGCGAAACAAACAGACTCTCATCGATTTTACGAGAAAATGGAAACAAAAAATCTATTTCTGTGTATGCAATTCACCCATTTGCAGAATATCATTCGGCCCTTCTTTTTCGAAAAGCCATATTCTTTGGACAGACAGCTTTAACTTGACCAATTTTTGATAATGGTTCTTAGAACCACAAACAACTGCTCTTTTTAGTTTCTGATGTGTCCCGTTTAGAGCCATGATTGTAACAAATACTAAAGTTTCACATGTAATTGATGATCTCAACATGATGCCCCAAGGATCAACTTTAACCATGTTAAATTTGGACAATATTCCTTGAAATGAAGGCTCAAAGTTTACCAAAGATGTTCATTTTCATCTCCAAAGTAGAACAAAGAGTTACCTGCTTGAGAAAACCAGCACCGAAAGCTCGAGTGACTTTCAAAGAACCTTTAACTCGGTCATTCATCAACGCACAAGCATCATCGGGATGTTCGTTTATGATTCTTTCAACTTCCTGCAATGAAAAAAACAATCTAGCTCAATCCATCAAGGGTTAAAGAGAGTATCAACATCATCTATTTTTGTACTAAAAATATCAGTGTATGAAATCCTTTACCTCTTCAACACTGGTACTGTGATCGACGCTAAGCTGAAAAGCAGTTAAATCAGGGATTACATTTGATCGATCTCTATCAAAGCCTTCAAGCTCATGCAATGTTTCTTCATTGATCCTCTCCAAATCTTGCCTAACCTTTCCCAACCGATAATCGGGCTCGGTTTTTTGGGCCAAAACTGCCCTACTATCCCCAACATTCATCACATAAACATCCTCTCCTTTCATCAACATACCGAGTACACAAGAACCCATCAAAGCCAGCTCTGGGTTCTCCATCAACATCTTATCAGCAATATCCAAATAAGACTCCTCTGTTTTCTTCAAAGCATGAGACAAAGCATTCAAAACATCCTCATGGTTTATGGTCATCGATCTCGAACCACCCGACTTATTTCGACTCAGCTGTTCCTTTAATTTCCTATCAAGTTCTAATCTTTCGCTATCCCATTCACACTTCCATCTCCTCTTATTCTCTTCCCACCTTGTCGCCGCACCTTTATACTTCACCTTCGAATTCCTTCCTTCTTTCGGTTTCGAACCCAAATTCCGATATACATCTTCTATCTTGCCCGGAAAATTTTCTTGCTCTAAACACCTTGAACATGCATCATAGGAACAATCCCTAGTTGATTCTGAATCAGATTCCCTGCTGCTCTGTTTTTCGTCTTCAGGGGAAGTTGCAGGGGCTTGTTCAAACCCATCATCCCACAATAAACCCTCGAGTTCTTTATGAATATTGGAGTATAGATTTGATAACAAATAATCTGGTGCATCAGGGCCGTTGAATCCATCATAAATCCCAACGAAAATCCATTCGTGTTCCTCCGAAACGACGACGTGCAATCGGTCCTCGCCGGCTTTCCCTTGCGCCCAGTGAAGAATTTGACTTTCCAATGACTCATCATCGTCTAAACTGCACTCGCTGCTCAGGTTCAAGCTACTGACCGTCAAATTCTCGTTGTGATTATGAATCGGGTTCTTTTCGGACCCGACTATCCATTCGGGTTCTTTAATTGAAACCACACCTTTAATCGGAGCCACGATGGAATTTTGGCCGCGAGAAACGGTTTTCGAGATTGCTCTTTGGAGGACCCGAATTAAAGAACCTTTTTTCGATCTGGGTTTAAAGGCAAAAGCTCCATGAGAAAAGCTTCTTTGGAACTGATAGGAAAAACCTTTTTCCAGTGGACCCGAAAATAACCCCCGACTATAATTGTAGTTAATATTATCAAGAGGATCCGACATGAACCCCCTCTCGATCGGCCCGGACATAAACCCTCTTTCCAAAGGACCCGAACCCGGAACGAGACTACCCGACATCAGTCCCGAAGAGTTTATCAAGCTCTTCGGAATCGGCTGAAGCGGGATCGAGGAAAACGACGTCGTGCTCTCGAAAGCTGCCGCCCTATCGAAGCAGCCGTTGCTGTAGCTGACGTACGGGTCCACCAGGGCCGTAGAAAGCGGCGTGTAAGTGTTGGCACTGACGGAGGCGCCGGAGATCGTACGGAAGGTCGTGGTGGATTCTTCGGAATGGACCTTGGAGGAAGAGAGACGAGTCGGGTCGGGCCTAACGTAGCAGAAGGAGTGACCAAGGCCTTCGTCGAGAGGATCGGATAGTAACATGGATATTTCCTTTCTACGACGAGCTTCTTCTCTGGCATATCCGCCACCGCCCGTGAAACAGAAGCTCAATTTGCAGGAACCGTTGCCCATAACCCAAAAATAATTGAAAGATTTATTTTCTTCCCTTCCCTTCTCTCTCTATTATTTGCTCTCAAATTTTCAGGGAAATGAGAAAGAAAATAAGAAGCAAGGGGAAGAAGAAGAAAAAGGCGTTGACTTTTGGGAAGGGAAAGAGAGGCTTTTCAAACTGATCAGGGAAATGAGAAAGAAAATAAGAAGCAAGGGGAAGAAGAAGAAAAAGGCGTTGACTTTTAGGAAGGGAAAGAGAGGCTTTTCAAACTGAAGGGAGAAAAAACAAAACACTTATTTGGGTTCTATTTTAGTGATGTTTTATGCTTTCATTATTTATTTACTTCTAATGGCGGGGGCGTTGATTGAGAGAGGGTTTAAACAAAAATATATACCTTTATTTCAGTTCTGATTTTTAATTTTATATCAATTAATTTAAGTAGTAAAAAAAGATTGTTTTATTTGGAGATTTTGAATTTGAATAATTATATTTATAGAATATATGTATATTATTAAGAGAAAAAAATTTCAGTGACCAAAAATGCCTTATAATATATGATTTTAACCAACTTTTTTTGGATTTGCCAAATTGACCAACTAAATCGCAATGCGATCGATAATTCGCAACGCGATCTCCGGTATCGCAAATCAGTTTCCAGATTCGCAATGCGATTCTGACTATCGCATTGCGATTTTCCAAATTCACGTTGCGATTTTCCAAATTCGCGTTGCGATTTTCCGACTATCGCAATGCGAATATGTAAATCGCAATGCGATTATGACTATCGCAACGCGATTCTGACTATCGCAACGAGATTCTGACTATCGCAACGCGATTCTGACTGTCGCAACGCAATGCTAACTATCGCAATGCGATTTTCAAAGCGCCATTATTATCGCAACGCGTATTTTTTTTCAAATTCCAAACACGAATATTAATATATCGGAACACTGAACCGTCCACAGTACATCACGTAATCGCAACTCATAACCTAAAACCCTAAATCACAACTCAGTCACATCTCCATCTCTCACTCTCTAAGGCGACATCTGTCCCCATCTCCGACGAAATCATTCCCCATCTCCGGCGAAATCTGTCTATCTCCATTTCTCAGAGCCACCCTCACAATCATTCACGGTCAGAAATGGAAAATCAACCAAATCAACCACCGAGGGTTAGTTTTTTTAATTATGTTTATTTTGAAATTTTTGCATTATTATTAGGTTTTTCATATTGAAATCGATGATAAGTTTACTGGTAATTTCAATAATAGATTAACCATTTCATTTAGATTGCTTATTAAATTCATTCGATTGCTGCCAATACTGCTAAAATGTTTAGTCTTTAAACCCTGTGAATTTAGTATTTGTTTTTGTTTTGTCTTTTGGTTGAAGTAATGCAATCCATTCAAGTTTCAATTTTAGTATTTGAAACCAAGAATCGCAACGCGAAATGAAAATCGCAACGACAGAATCGCAATGCGATTTTAGTTTCGCGTTGCGATTTTCATTTCGCGTTGCGATAGTCATTTTCGTGTTGCGATTTTCATTTTCGTGTTGCGATTTTAAGTTTCAGAAACTATTCTTCTTCTGCAAATTGAAACTTGAATGAATTGCATTACTTCAACAAAAAAACAAAGACAAATACTAAATTCACAGTGTTGCAAATTTAAGTTTGAAGAATAAACTACTACTCTTTATGTTTATTGTTCTTGGTATATCTTCACAGTGTAGTTTTTGGTATATCTAACTTGGTATGTTTATTGTTTTTGTAGAACTTTTATTCGGCTCAATTGACCTTAAGAAATAAATTAAGCCTGGCTAAAACAATTGCATCGAAGCTTTCACCTGCACAAAGAAAAATATTTGAGGATACTTGCTTCGGGCCATGGCTGAAAGTACAACATCCGGGTGGAGATGCTATGTTGACCCATCTATTTCTTCAAACCATGACTAGCGATCTACCAGAGACTATACAACGTCGTGATGAAGAGATATGGTTTGATTTTTCACCGGCGTATACGTGTTTTGGGCGGGAGGAGTTTTGCTTAATCACCGGTCTACGCTTTGGACACGATGATGTAGGTCGGTACACTAGACATATTACCCGCCTATCATGGTTATCCCGGGTTTTTCCTGAGCTGTCAATGAAGAAGCCGAATTTACACGTAGAAGACTTGACGAGATTATTGAATAAGAAAGATGGTTTTACTCGGATGGATGACGTCGATGTTGTCCGAGTATACCTTCTAATACTTTTGCATGCCGGCTTTTTAGGCAGAGAGGCCAGACAACCTATTCCTAATGATCTAATTAAATTGGTAGAGGACCTAAATGCATGGAACATGTTTCCGTGGGGTTCGTATCTATGGAAAGCTACATGGAATAAGTTGTCGTCTACCTTTGATGATCGAAAAAGTTTGCGTGGCGATGGTTCCAAATACACTTTGTCAGGCTTTATTTGGGCCTTTAAGGTAAGAATTTTTATATAATGTTTCCAAAATTATAATTAATTATTATTTAACAATTACTAATGTTTGTTATTATATTGTTTGTAGATTTGGATATTTGAGGCTTCTCCCGCCATGCAGACATATGCATTAAAAACTTCTAATGATATTCCTAGGGCTATTTCCTGGAAGAGGAAACGAACCTTGCAGCAATGGGAAGATTTACTATCGTATACGACAATAAATAATGAAAGTTAACACAAATACTACTATATGTTTATAAACAAGTTATTACTAGTACACGTTTAACTTTGTTTGAGCTTTTATATTGTTAGGAGTCTAACATTCCATTGCAGAGGCTGACACCCATGGAAGCTGAGCTTGCCACTGATTGGTGGCAAGCTAGTAAGCGTTTTTTTTATGGCACTGATGATGAGCAGCCTTATATGAGGAGGTCGGTACTTTACGCGATGACAATGGTGCATGGCGTGTTGAGGTGTCTACTTTACGTGGTGAGGTAGCCGCTCTACGTGAGATGGTAGCATCGTTGCAGAATGAGATTCATACTCTACGCAACGAGGTAAGTTTAATATTTTTCATATTTAACTTGATGATAAATTTACTCGTAATTTCACTTAGATTAACCGTTTCACTTAGATTAACCATTTCACTTAGATTGCTTAGTAAATTCATTCGGTTGCTGACAATATTGCTAAACTGTTTATTCTTTAACCCTGTGAAGTTAGTATTTGTTTTTGGTTGTCTTTTGGTTGAAGTAATGCAATCCATTCAAGTTTCAATTTGCAGAAGAATAATAATTTACTTTCGTAACGCGAAAATGACTATCGCAACGCGAAAATGACTATCGCAACGAAAGAATCGCAATGCGAAATGAAAATCGCATTGCGATTCTCTCGTTGCGATAGTCAAATTCGCGTTGTGATAGTCATTTTCGCGTTGCGATAGTCATTCGTGTTGCGATTTTAAGTTTCAGATTCTATTCTTCTTCTGCAAATTGAAACTTGAATGAATTGTATTACTTCAACCAAAAGACAAAGACAAATACTAACTTCACAGTGTTGAAAATTTAAGTTTCAAGAATAAACTACTACTCTTTATGTTGTCATTGAACCTGCACTAAACATATATGTTGTCCTTTTAAATGTTTATTTAAGTGATTACTTCTGGAATGTTATCGGATGCATTTTGTGAACAATGATAGAATAATGACTTGGGTGAATACCGTGCAAGTTTGAAATATATTTGTCTTTGTTTTCACTGTTTAATATCATGTCTGTTTATTTATTGATTTATGTATTAATTTATTTTTAGCGGCCCGCTAAGGTGGATGCTCTACGTCGGGTTTTTCTTGCAAGACGAAGTTCACGCATCAGACGGCGTGCACGTGCCATTAAGTCTCCGTTCACCCCAATAGTGCGAAGAATCCGCAAGAAAAAGCCCGACTCACCTGTCATCGTTTAAGAGGCCTCTCCTATCGTTCAAGTGGCCCCTATCATCCCTCAAGAGTCCCCTCCCACCGTTCAAGAGGCCACTGTCATCGTTGAAGAGATCCCTCCTAACATTCTAGAGCCCAATTCACACGGCGTAATATATCGAATTATTGAGAAACCGTGCAGGACATGATGGATGACTGTTGGCTTTCGTATAAGTTACCGGCCAGTACCATTCCGGCAGATGAAGTGGAGAGGAAACAACTACCGGAAACAATTCTGGATAATACCCTTTGGGCTAAGACCGCAGTTGATTTTTATCTACATGAGCGGAGCCAAGGGTGTTACGTTGACATATACAAACTTAACAATGATATGTATTTGTTGATTGAATGGTCTTGGTGGGGTGTGTTATTAGGGGTTGAAGACAATGGCTATTTCGATGGGGGGGGTAAGTCTTATATTTCTTCTTATATTTCATTTTGATTATTTTTTTTAAATTTATGTAATTCACTAATATATGTCTTTTTTTGTTAAACAGCATATTGATGCATGGGTGTCACGTCTTCTAATACTAAGGAAATTGAAGAAAAAAAAATACGCGATATACAATTATGCCGACGTCTTTTCACGTAGTTCACTTGAAGAATCAACGACATGAATCATATGTGTTGGCTAATGGACAAGCTAAACTTTATCCTGCATGGTGGGAGATCGATAAGGTTAGTATTTATTTTTTTTAAATATTTTAAAGGTGTTCATAAATAAGTGCGCAATTTGAATTATTACTTATGATTGCAGGTGTTTATCCCTGTTTTGGAACGTACTCATTGGCTTCTCTTCGAGCTTCAACTCCCATCCCTGAAGACAATAGTATATAACAGCACGATAAATTACATATCATTGTCTGATTTGAGAGATATTATTAAGGGATGGAGCTCTCATTTGGCTAAATTCTTGTATGTGATTAATTATTAGACTTATTCTGGAAACAAGAAGCCAAAGAAGTTCAATGTTATAGTTATCAGAGACGAGACCGCGCCACAACAAACGCCGGAAGCCAGAGGGGATTGTGGTCCTCTCGTATGCATGTGCTTGGAGCATTTGACGACAGGAAGTACACAGTTTCTACCTCCCACCGATAGAGATAGAGGTGTAGTAGGCTTGTGGTTTCGGTATTTTATGGCTAGAGCGATATATTCGAGACGCTGCCTACCTGCATCCGTGTTATGAAAGTGTCCATAAACAATTTGTAAGTCAAATGCAAGTG